CCAAAAGGTCCTGACCCCACTGGTCGAGAGTGAGCGATTCATTCTTGTTCTTGCATGTTCATATCTATCCTGGTGAGGACCTATGTTGCCCTGTTGTCTGTTCCGTTGACTTGAGTTCTATGCATGGTAGGTTGTGATTGATTAGTGGCTCGGTTGAGATTTGCTTTGATTGTGGATAGAATGAGAACTTTTCATTTGCTGATTTTTTATGCAATTGAATGTCATTAGTGGTGGATGTCGGATTTGTTTAAGACGGTTCGAGTGTCGATGCCCAAATAGTCATTTGAGATTCACAGCCTTGTGCCTTTTGAAATGTCCCCTAGCTATCTTTGTAGGTTGAAATATTACCTAGGTGGAAAATGGTTTGCTTGAGGACAAGCAAACGTCCAAGTGTGGGGGAGTGATTCGGGCCCAAATGTACACATTTTAGTCCAGTGTTATTAAAGTCGAGCCGAGCCGCTCGGCCTGACCGGTAAAACTGCCACCCGGTCACAAAACCGGCTCGAAACAGACTAAAAGCCGCTCCGGTTTTATGTAGCCGTTGACGAGAAGCCGAGGCGGTTAACCGCTCGAGCCGATTGAGCCGCTCGTTCGGTTTTTTCCATTCAGCCATTAAATTTAATTAAAAAAATTGCAGAAAATTGAAAATTGAAAAAAACCAAAAACGTCTCTCTCTCAAACTGAATCCTTATTTCCATTTCACAATTTCGAAGGAAAGAGACGAGCTCTGATTAAGAAATGTCCACTATTTATACTGATAACGTTTATTAGGTACCGGTTCTCTAACGGTTTTTAAACGGGCTAATGCCGGTTGGACCACTAAAGTGCGAGCCGTTCGCATTACCGGGTCATGCTCCGGTTCGGTTCTGATAACATTGCATTTTACCCTTCATTTCTTATTCGTTTAGCTTAGTATTTCATCTTTCCTCGACATATTTCACGCTAGGTTGTGCTTGTTTTGATACATTTTAGGTCTAGCACGTGTGAAAGGGTCGAGGTCGAATTTTGGGATACATGGAGGTCAAAAAGCAGAAAAACCAAAGAAAAGTCCGAAGACCGTGACAATTGCCCCGTAACAGTGAAGTGCAGGCGTCCAGGAAGCAGCCGCAGTTCACGGTCAAACTAGGGAGTTTACGGTCTCCTAAGACCATGAACTGGAGCCACAAACCATGAACATCGAACAGTCCCGCGAGGTTTCAGAGGTTACTGACGCCAGACGAGTTCACGGTCGCTAAGACCGTGAACTGGGGCCATTAACCATGAACCCAGGAGAGTGAATCAGTGCGTTTTGGACGACACTGAGTTCACGGACGCGTTTAGGTGTTCACGGTCGTGAACTGGCCAACGTGGCATTGAATTGGTCGCTTTCGGGCAAATATGAAGACAACAGTGGGGAGAGAGAAGTAGAGCTTCATTTTAGGTTAGGTTTTCATTTTTCAGAATAAAGAGGATTCTAGTGAGAGGTTAGGGTTTCTTCAAGAGTGAGAAAGTGTCTACTTCTTTAGATTTTAGAGAGAGAAAGAACGAACCCAAGAGGAAGGAAGGCTAGGGTTTGCTCCAATTGGTAAATTGGGAATATTATCCCAAAGAGAGGATCAACACAAGCTCAAAGGTGATTGGAGGCATCACCATGATAGTTTCTACCTCTTCCTCTTGTGTTCTTCCCCTTTCTAGCATGGAGTAGTTTCCTTTTTCACTTGGGTGTTGTGAAACCCTAACCATTTGCCATGTAGTTGTTGAGTGAATTGAATGATTGTTTATGGGTATTGTTTAATTCAATGATTGAGGTATTTTTCATGTTGATTGTGCATGTTTGTGCAGGCTTAGCAATCTAATTGGCCATTCTAACCTAGATTAGAGGGAAAACCCTCTTTCAAGGGAGGCTCAATTTAGTTGGGATCCTAGGAGCTTTTTAAGCCACCGATCTAGGTTAATGTAGGGCAAACCTCTATGTTAAATTAAGCAATTTGGTTAAGCACGATTAAGCCGGCCAACCATTGGGTTGAGTGAGAGAGTAAGTCAACCATCGATTGACTTAACCGAGAGGGCTACTTGAGTAGCCTATAATGAATCCCTTGGTTTGGCAAACGAGAGTGTGGTCTACGACCATAGTTGCATTTCCTAGCGGTTCGCGGTCACCTTGTCCATAGCAATCACTTCGATTCACATACCATAGTAGTAGTTAGGGGAAAGCGACACCCGAGTGATCCTTCTCGCATAGAGCTTTCAAAACCATTTACTTTTCTTGCTTGTTTTCATTTGTATTTTTCATAGTTTTAAACTCAAAACCTTTTTGCTAGATAACAACTTAAGCAATTGAAGCAGGGGTACATGGACCGGACCGGGTTGACAATTTAAATACTTGACCTATACTGCACCCGGCTAGTGTTTAAAAACTTGAGCTCTGGTTGGAATTAATTTGTGGTGTAGTTTCGTGCGAGTCAATCAGTCAGTGAAGAAGAGGAAAGATTCCGACGGTGGGGCTCACAAGAAGGAGTCGTCGGGTGGTCACAAAGGGAAGGGAGGCGGATTACATCGACCTAAGGTGGAAGTCTCCAAATTTGAAGATACTGAGGTAGGAGAATGGAAAGAAGAAAAAGAAAGGATTTGGGTTTTCTTTGATTGAATTCTTGTTCGGAGATAAGAGGAAGGAGAATAGAAAGAAGAAAAAGAAAGGGCCAGCGGTGAGGGTCTGAGAGAAAATGGAATGGGCAAGGGAAGGGGAAACATATTATTTATTTTTGGGTTAATACCCTAGTTTGGCCTGAAGTATAGCGTTAGTGACAGTTGTGTCACGACTTTTTCAATGAGACATTTATGGCATACTTTTCAAATTAATGGACATATTTGGCCTGAAACTTGTGTTGGCCGTTAAAATTGACGGTCAAACATTCTTACCGTTAATGACTCAGCAAAATACAGCTAATGTGGATAATTTTCTCGCCATATCATTAAATAATCATGTATTTAATGTTTTGAAAAAATTAAAAAATAAAAACAAAACAACAAATTAAAAAAAAAATCACCACAAAGTCAAAATCCCTACTTCTTCTCTCTTCACTCTCGACAAAAATCCACCCCGTCGCACGCCCGCAACACCAACCCGTCCACATTCGGTCGCCACTCCATCTTCCTTAAGCCTTTGCCGCCACCCTTCATCTTCCCTCCACCATCAACTTCCTCTGTTCAATCTCCCACTGCCTCGACAATGTTGCCTTGCTCTTCGTCATTTTCCATATCTACATCGCCTCCCTCGGAGCCATCGTCGTCAAGATCGATGCCATTCCTCGCGACTGCAACCCTTGCTCTGCTTCGCCGCTCTCGACGCCACAGTTTCAGAGATCGACTCCATCCTCCATATATATGTCCTCGCGTCGTTGTCGTCTGTCACCATCGTCTCTTCGGCACAACATCGGTTTCCCCTGTATCAAATCGGTGGCAGCCAACCATCGGAGCCACGATGACCACCGTCGCACCTGCTTCATCTCCCGCCGCATAGTTTGACGATAAGGCCGGCTGTCGGTAAGGAGAGGGAATCAGACATGTGGGGAATTAGAGGTGAGGTTGGATGTTGGAGGAAGGGAGTTGCGATGGAGGAATCGAAGGTGAGGTTAGAACTTAGGAGAAGAAGATGAAGATAAGGAAGAGAGGGTTTTTTTAGGATTTTATTTATTTAAATTTGTTTTTCATTTTTTATTTTCAATTAATAAGTGACGTGAATGCCACCTCAGCACTGGATGTTGAGTCATTAACGGAATATATGTTTGACCGTTAATATTAACAGTCAACACAAGTTTTGGGCCTAATCTGTCCATTACTTTGAAAAGTAGGTTGTAAATGTCTTATTTGAAAAGTCGGGGCACAACTGTCACTTATGCCAAACTTCGGGCCAAACTAGAGTACTAACCCTTTATTTTTTAACTTCAAAATTAATTAATTTTATAATTCAAAATGACGTGGCAATGATATGATAACTAGTCGCTGACATGTTGGACGATTTGACATCCTAGTCGGTCTAACGTTAATCTAACTGATGGAGTCTCTAACACAGTTAAAGTTCCTAACAGAAATGGCTAGATTTGTCACACTACGATCTAGGGGTGGGCATTCGGTCGGTTCGGTTTCGATCGAATCGAAATTAGGAATACCGGGTCCCCGAATTATCTCAAACCTCAAACCGAATTATAATTCGGTTCGGTTTGGTTTTTCACACAAAACCAAATTTGTGAAGCTACTTGTATCTTCTCATTTTTAAATTATTTTTCACCCCTAATATAAACAATAAATATGCAATTATATGCATCAACAATGATAAAATCAAATTTTCAACACATAAGTCATAAAATATTTCAAATATTTAAGTCTAAAAACAACTACAAACATTAAAATCCACCATTTGGAGCTTGCAATTATAGTATTTTGGTTTTTCAGTCGGAAATTCGGTTCGGTTGAAAGAACTCTGATTTCCGAACTATCCATATTTTCCTTCCGAATTCCGAACCGAATAGCATTAATTCGATTTCGGTTCAATTTAATTCGGTTTAGGTTCTGTTCGGATTTACCGAACCGGTTGCCCACCCCTACTACGTTTGTGTTTTTTTTTATAGTTATAACTATATTTGTCACAAAACTATACAAATACAAGTGTATTTTGCCATTAAAATATCACTAAACCTAGTAACTGGCTCAAATACCCAAAACCCTACAAAAACCCAGATTTCTATCCTAGTAACTAGATCAAATACCCAAAAGGCCAAAACCCTTAAAAAACCCATATTTCTATCCTAGTAACTAGATCAAATACCCAAAACCCTACAAAACCCCAGATTTTTATCACAACGCAGTTTCCCAAATTTCTTGAAGGGCTCACTCAATCGAAGCCAGGTCTTCCTGGCCCCTTTCTCGTTGTCTACTTGAGTCATGGACCGCTAACCCGAGAGTATACAAAGCGCAGACTTGCTTGTAGAAATTACACGCTATGTAGATAACAAGGTTTGAGCTTTGAGGGAAGAAAAAGGGCTAGTTTTCTGTGATCTGAAACTATCAATTTCAACCAAAACTTAAGCACCTCTTTATGTTGTTTCCAAAATCAACAATGAGCAATGAAAAGTCGAGCAGGCATCGATCATTTAGTTCTTAGATAAGGGAAGGGCATGAACGTGTCATCATTCAGACTAAGAGAAGGGTAAATACAACGAAGTGTGCAATGGAAATTGCTCCCCAGCTCGAATAAACGGCGTTTAGAATCAGAACTGAAACTGCATCTCAGGGGTTTAGCCAATCGCTTCAAGGTTTGCTCCCCCACTCGAATAAACACCGTTTAGATCAGAACTGGAACTGCATCTCAGGAGTATAGCCAATCGCTTCAAGGTGTGCTGCCATGGCCTTGTTCATTGGTGGCGGGCCACACCTAAGAATCTGCACATTTGCGTTGTATATGGTTAGCAGCTGATGAAGTTGATGGCTTAGCAGGAGAACTGATGAATAGAATAATGCACAGAAAAATCACAGAATTCAGCAAAGGCTACCTGGATATCAGCTGCTGGAGCTGGCAAATGGGTTTGAATAATTTCTTTTGAAACAAAGCCAACACCACCATTCCATACCTCTGGAGGCTGCATTTCAGTGTATCTTGATATCGTTAATGATGCAATCGTTATTTAACTAAAGCCATGAACAAAGGCAACTATAGCAGAAAGGTTTCCAGTTTAATTATGAACCTGATTCAAGACATAGTAGATCTTGAAGCTGTCAGGGTACCGAGAAGCAAGGACTTCCAGTTCCTCCTGCAAATTAAATTGGGATTTCAGTTAATTACTGAGTTTAAAAGTGAGGTCTATGATTAGTTGGAACAACCCCAGAACATTTATAGGAAGAGTGCAGCTTGATTTGCCAGTAGAATGATTATCCAAGAGAATCCTGATTTTGCCACCAAACCAAGTAATAAATCTAGACCCACAGTAGACTGAAAGCATTGGAAAATCCCTTCCAGCTGTTTCAACCGCTTATACAGTTTTCTAGCTGGACAAGTCGAGGCCTTTTACTTCTATCAAGTTAAATGCTTGCAGGATACCCACATTACCTTCAACAAAATGTCATCATGTGTTACGTTGGCATAAATAAGATGGACCTTCGTCTGGTCTTTTGGGTTTTCCAGTATTGCTCTGGCAACCTAAAGCAGTAATCCAGCAAAGTAAATCTTAAATAAATCTTCGCCAAAAGTTAAGTCTTGTGGTATTGGCACCCAGGATAACTCAAATAAAAATGAGAGGTATGTAGAAACTAATAGCCGAAAAGTTAGCTTTCAGAACGTACTTGGAACATTGGTGTAATGCCAGAACCACCGGCAAGCATCCCAAAAGCTCTAACTTGGCCTGGTTGGTATCTAAATCGCCCCTGTTTACAAGTTAAAACTCAGATATTATTAGCAACATAACTTGAGCAACTCTTCCTAGTTCCTATGATGGAAATCATAGTCGAGCAAAATATATAATAGTTCAACTAACAATAAGTAACAGCCCTAGAGGATGCTCAATATTGCAGAAATCGATATCCAGAACTAAAATGCCAAAGTTTATATTCAGTATTTCAATGAAAAAGCAAAAGTGAATTCGACATTATTGATAAAATGGGCCTCGTACCTTGGGTCCTTTCACAGCAAGGCTCTCGCCAACACGCATCTCCCTGAAATGGTGGGACATTCTCCCTTGTGGATACATCTAATTTAGAAGGAAATCCAAATTAAGTTATAAGCAGTGCGAACTGATCAAGAATTGACTACTAGCATGATCCAACTGAACCAAAAAGAACAATCCCTTCTTTATAACTTCCCCTTGTCTGATTAGCCTTAGAATGATTCAAAAAATTGAACCTTTTCTAGCAGAAACTGCTAACAAAATCGAACAACAAAAGTGCCCATTTAACTATGGGAAATCAAAAGACTCCATCATCATAGTCCTTTTGTTCCATGATGAGACAGTGTTCAAGGAGAAATAATGAAGTCAAGTGAAGGAAAGATCATGTACCTTAATAACCAACTCAAAATGTCCAAGATCAGAGTCAAGGGTAGTTGGAGTATAGGGTTTAAGAACTTCCTCTCCCTGACTATCCTTGCCCCTGCAAGAGAGAAAGCTGTATAAGAACCAAGCAACGAAAAATAAACAAGCCAAAAAGGAAGACTTAACTCCATCCGCGGCATTGTTACTTCCCTATTATCATGGCTGATGCAGAACAAATTCTGATGACTAATACCAAATGTGGGCTATGACTAACATGAACAACCAACCATTTTGGCGAAGGAAGAGGGATCAGGAAAAAACCTGCAACTAATATGCTGACCAATAGGCAAGCCCAATACTGAAGTTGGAGAAGGCAGTGCAAACGTGAACTTGGCCACATTATGACTAAGCTGCGTGCGCTTGACGAGTTTAAAGTCCCTGAAGTTCTCAGGGTCTAAGCAACCTGTAAAAGAAGTAACAAATATATATCTAAGTTACCGGCCAATTAAACATTCAGCAGTAAATCGAAACAATAGTGCATCCCACAGTTCAACTAGATCAACTGGATCCCAATTCCCAATTCTTCCCGTGAAACTTGTCATAATCACAGAACTACAAATCAGACAATTGGAAGCAACTAAAACATGCATGATTTGTCTCAAAGTTCGCAACTTTATGAGAACCCATCACTCAGAAATGCCAACAAAAGTAATCCACCTGAGAAACCGGCATCAGGAATCAATTCTCATCTACGTTTCGCCAGTAGCCCAAAATAACAAAGAGAGTTCAGAAGTCCAAACCTCTAGATTTCTTGGAGGAGAAGAGGAAGATAGCACCAATGCCAATGGCGACAACAGCCACGGCGACGCCCACGAGGATCTGAGGGTCAACTGTCTGCAGGAATTCCAAATCCATCTTAGCGGTAGTGAGTGATCCCCGTAAACCCACGGTTTTCTCCGTTGCTTGCCACCCAGCTGAAGTCAATGAAATTTATAAAAGAGAAAGGGATTGAGCGTCTCTCAGCTGTGGGCGAAAAAAACAAGGGAACGACTGAGAGCGGGACTCAAAACTGGGGGCTTGAATAAAGAAAGAGAGACTCGGGGATATGTGTGTTTTATACTTTTATTTGAAAACTTGGTAGGTGGAGAACTTTGGAGGCATTGTATGGGAGTGAGATTGCTAAAACCAGAAAATTACTGGGGATCTCAGGAATTTTGGTACACCTACCAACCACTACCTTACGGCTTACACCACACCACACCACACCACACCAGTATATACAAACGCTCACGTGTGGAAAGTCCACTTCTCACGTGCCTATTTCTGGCCTGATTGGGCTTAGTGGTGACGGCTAGTGCTGCAAATTAGCACAAACATCTCATGGGTGGCTTGACATCTCGAAACGAATACGTTCGACACTTATTTGATTATATGAGTTTGATTAGAGTTCGTAAACTCATTACGAGTTGAGATGAAGAAAAAGCGAGTCACTATTTTAGTAAAAGAGATGACTCAAGTTAGATTAAAACTCAACTCGGTTCGGTTCTTCTACAGCCCTAGTCATAGCCCAATGTCGAATAAGACTTTTCAATGGTTTTTATGGTACAATCTAACTTTATCCTATTATAAAGCAATGTGGTTGAAACGAACTAAAATATGAATTATTGTAGCGAGCGGTTCATACTTTATTGGTTTAATTCAGTATCAAATTGCTAAATAATTGGGTTAATTGCATTCTCGGTCATGAGATTACAAAAAAGTTTCTGTTTGGTCACTCAAAATATTTAAATCCATTCATGGTCACTACATTCAGTAAAACAATCCAAATTTGGTCACTCTCCGTCCAACTCCGTTAACTTAGATTGATGTGGCAGTTAACTCTCATAGTTGACTGTTAAATCTGTGACGTGACAATTAAAAAAAATTAATTGTAAATATTCCACCTCATTATCACTACTATTAAAAATTAAAAAATTAAAATTATTCATTTTAAATACCTAATGAACTAATAAAATAAGTTGTTGTGGTCATCTCTGTATAAAGTAACTCACCAGATTCGGAGAACTAGCCGGAGAGAGGGAACCTGGATGGACGGCGGGGGCAGGAACCAAGGCGAAATTGTGGAAGTGTAGAGCGAAATAACGGAGAGAAGAAGACAGCACAATCCGATTTCGAGCAAGCTGGCGGCGGTGGCTGAAATTTCCAAACTACAAAGTCGGAAGAGGAGTTGGTTGAATCCAACGACGCTCCTTCTCCTCCTCGAGATCTCCGCCGACTTTCGATTCTCCTTCTTGATCTGCCTTGCCCTCCTCTTCTCCCCGCTCTCCCCTCCGCTCCTCCCTTCACTCCTCTGCTCTTCGGCATGCTCCTCGACCTCGTCGTCATCGGCCTCACCAAAGCTGAGCTCTCTATTCGCGTTCTTCCGCACTTCGGATTTCAATTCCCGATCTCTCTCGCTCGCCGGAACCTCTACAACAGCTTTTGACGCCGTTCTAGTCAGTTTCAACCGTTCACTGTCACAATCCGTCTCCGTCACTCTCACTTCATCAAGCGGCATCCCTCCTCACTCTTTTTGCTTCTCCATGAGAATTGATTCGATTCTCGATCGCTCACTTTCAGATGGCCAGGCTCAGATCTTCAGCTTCCACTAGTTAGGAATAGAGTTCCTGGAGCTTTATCCGGGAGAAATGCAAGGTCTCAGAGCCAAATTTAGGGTGGTGGCAGTGGATGCGGGTAACTTTTTAGATTGCTCTGCTCGGTCTGTACGCACTGTTCACCCTCTTTTAGTCGACGGTGAGAAAGAGGGGTGAGATTAGTTCATTAGGTATTTAAAATGAATAATTTTTAATTTTTAATAATGAGGTGGAATATTTAAAATTAATTTTTTATTAATTTTTAATTGTCATGTCACAGATTTAACGGTCTACTATGAGAGTTGACTGCCACGTCAACCAAATTTAACGGAGTTGGACGGAGAGTGACCAAATTTGGATTGTCTTACTAAATGTAGCGACCATGAGTGGATTTAAATATTTCGACTGACCAAACATGAACGTTTTTTGTAATCTCAGTGACCAACAATACAATGAACCCCTAAATAATTATTAAAAATTTGACACCTCATAAGTCATATATAAGATTATTCTAAGTAGAATACACATAATAATACATTAAAAATTCAAAATAGAATATATTACTCTTAAAGGTACATGAGTACTTAAGTTCTAATGTCAAACTCAAAATATTAATGATTCCCAAAATAAAAATAATGATTTTGACACTCTTCTTGCCATACGAATAATAGTAAAGAAAGTCAAGACATAAAACAATAGTCTCAAATATATGAAATACTAAACATGCAATCACTCAAATACAACTCAAACAACTATGCAACTTCATAATAATTAGCATTCGATGAATCACTACTTGAAGACTTCATCTCAACTACGACCCTATAATCATCATCATCATCTAACAAGTAAAAAAAATTTACAAGCAACAAAATGTTGTTATTAACCATAAGTTAAAAATCATGTAACAGATGAATGTTTTTTGTTTTGTTTAATAGTATGACAATTCAATCTTCATTGCATCTTCTTTTTCCATTTGTAGCTCCACTTCCTCCACGAATGTCATTAGTATCATTTTCAGCACCCATAACTTCCAAGCCCTGCAAAACCCAAAAATGTATGGTATTGATCCACTCATAATCACAAGGACCAACTTTGAATTTAGTTTCTATAGTACGAGTTCTCTAAATGATGAATAACAATAAAAAATACTTAATTTCATTTGATAAATATTTGGTACTCAAATGTTGTAAGCCTGGTGCTATAAATATCAGCTTTATCTTGATAAAGAAGGGATCACCAAACAACTCTCTCTAAACTTTCCTTTTTAAGGGTTGTTTGGATGTTGCGATTGTTAAATAGATGTATTATTGTGAATGCATGTATAATTTTATATATGTATTGTCGAATTCGATGCATTGTAAAATACAACGTTTGGTATGTGTGATTGTGTATGTCACATCAGCTAAATGTTGAGACAAAAAAATCTCAACTCAACAATCACAACTAAAAGTTGAGATATAACAATCACTCAATTTGAGTGATAGTTTCTGTCACATCACATAAACAATCCATGTATTATTTCTGCTAAAAATAATGATGCATTCTAAACAATACATTTATAGTAACAATCTCACCAAAACAATCGAAACTTCCAAACAACCCATAAGCTGGCTTTCTTTCTCTTACTAACTTAGACATTGGAGAGTATCTCGGTCTGCTTTGCCTCATGTCAGTTGTGTACGAGCTACAAATATGTTAGACATCTGATCCCATCATGCAAAGGTCAAACATACAAATTGTTTGGACAAGAGTAGTGTAAAAACCCAACATACCAATACTTCATGGATGAGGAAATAATCCTAATCTATTTGACAATAATAGTAGACAAGCCAGATATATAAATTTTCTTGCAAGAGTGAGAGGTCCTCGCTTTTCCCGTTGATGTTAGAAGAATGGCTGGTAAGCTTTAATATTTATAAGCTCAATCTTCAACACACTAACGAATCCAATACAGGCCAAGTAACTTGAATTGGCAAAGTATTATAGCTATGACCGAGGTCGTATTCCAGGAGTCCTTAGACTTACTATTACTTCGCTCTAAACTACTATCTAATCAAATAGAAAGTTACATTCAAAACTAACCTAACTAACTAAACAACCAACCAAGTGGTTGGGAGGTTGCTAGAGATGATATGGTTATCTAGGGTCGAATCCTCCTAGTAGTAGGCTAGGTAGTCTATTGAATTCTATGGTTCATTCGAGGTGCGGAGATCACTTATATTGGAATTGATGCAATGGTCAAGCCACCAATCCCCCTTCTAGCCAAGTCAACTGGCACATTATCACCTCAGTCGATCTTCCAGACTAGGGATAACATCTACCTCCTCTAAATGGGTTGTACCTATCCGCACACTAGGTCGACATGCCAATGGTCATGCACCTACCTTCCTATTATTGATTAGTTGGGCTCCTAATTGGTAGGAGATGGTCATCTCGTCCACTAATTAGGATCCTAGATCATCTAATCTTGGTTGAATACCCTAGACATGTATAAACAAGAACTAACCTAGGGCTAATTCAAACAACATACAATTAATGCATCCAAATCTCAATAAGAAACATTAATCACACTAACTGAACTCAAGCATTATCATAGATATGATTCGATTAACAAACCCTAGCTACAAACTAGAATTTATTTACCCTAAACAAACTTAGGGTTTTAAGTCATAAAGAAAGAGAAGAAATACAAAGAAAGAAGAGGGGAATAACTTGTAGCCATCTTCTGCTCCTTGGACTGCACCTTCTCCGTGACTTGTTCGGTAAATTCCTCCTCTTTGAGCTCCTCGAAGGACATTTCTCTCTTTAAAAGTGCGCAAAAAACCATAATTTCTCACTAAAAATAGCCTCTTCATCAATTGGGATCTTCATGTATTTATAGGCATCTAGGGAGACGAACAAGTTTGTGGCCTCGTGCTGAAGGTCGCAGCCATGAACATCATACTCATCCCATTATATTCAAACTCGCCCATTTTGGTATCCGTTGGTGGTGAGTTCTTGGGCTGGAGTTCACAACCGTGAACAAGAAGTAGGGGCCGCAAACATTGTCGCGATGGACCACGAGACCTTCTGTGTCTTTATTGCTTGTAGCCTCCTTGAGATTGCAGCCTGGTGGCTGAATTCACGACTGTAAACTTTTGCTTTGGTCGTGATCTTTTTGCAGTCAATGGGTTCTCGGCTGTGAATTTTGCTCCATGGTTGCGAACTCTGATTTTTCCTCTTTCCATCCTATTGTCCTACACATGGTCCCTCTTTCTTCGTCATTTTTGCTTCTATCGTCAAATGCACCCTAAAAGACATAAATTGACGCGAGGAAGCATCTAGGCTACAAATGAAATTTAATTGATCTAATCACGCTCACAATATTATGGAAACACCTAAGAAATGAAGATTAAATAACACAAAATTTGGTGTTATCAAATTACCCCACACTTAGAATTTTTTTTGTCACTAAGCAAACACGTGACTAAACTGTGCAACTTGAAGTCTCTAACCTCCCCCCTCGATTTGTTTCCTAAGATATGGATCGCTAGTGACTAGAGATGCTTAGGTTTTCCATGCCATTGTTCGACTATGCTCGGGGAATATCATCAAAGGTGATTTA